CTTATGAAAAAGGCAGTAAGTGACTAGAAGTTAGTACTGATGTTGGAGGATGTGCGACTGTTCTGTGACTAAAAATAAGACAATATAAGGAGCAAAGTTAGGCTAGAATCTTTCTCAGAAATTATCGAAAGAATACGAAAACGAGCAAAAATGGTGAATGCAGATACAAGATGGTCTTGGAACATCCCATCAAGTTGCCACGTGATGGAGTTTCCTATATAGAGTTGCTTGCGAATTTTCATGTTACTGTAATTTCATTCCCGTCGTGTTATCACTCCCATCTACTCCTGCCATTTTGGCCTTATACAAAGCTATCATGACTTGGGAGGATGACTACAGAAGAGGTTGTATGTTCTTTGAGCAGCGCGAATACGAAGCTGCTCTAAAGTCTATCAACAAAGTTCGTCCAGCTCTCTGACCTTGATCTCGGAGCGCCAATTACCCAATGCTAACAGATTGCTAAAGGCAGCCCGCGAAAATAGGAAGAATGGTGCCACTTTCTACCTAAGATCTCTCGTATTGGAACAGTTAAACCGCCATCCTGAATCTCTGAGGGACGTCCAGAAGGCCATCAACCTCATGACAGAGTCAGAGTCATGGAAGGTCAGCTAAGAGTTCATGATTAAATATGCGATGTTCCGATTATCTCCACAGGCATACAGGCACTATGCTGCGCTTCTTTCGAAGATGGGTAGACTTGAAGAGTCTCTGAAAATGGTAGATATGGCACCAGAACGTGCTGACGAGAACGACAAGAAAGATGCAATTCTGGTGGATCTACGAGAACGAATAATGGAGGCACTTGAACCACGACCATGCCATTTCTCAAAGCTACCGGTGGAGATGAGTACCGAAATATTCACTCTGGTCGTCGATGGTGACAATGCAAATATGCTCGCTCTCAGTCTCGTTTGCCGAGCCTGGCGAGACATCGTCATTGGGTCGTCACGCTTTTGGCGTAACCTTGTTTTGACGCCAAAAACAAGACTGAAGCAGGCAGATACTTGGCTCCAACGTTCGGGGGGGGGGACATTAACTACTCTACACATCACTGGAGGATTTTCGTTCAGCACTCGGCCTGGTATGCTGAGGAGAGCTAATCCCGATGTATGGTCAAGACTTGAGACATTAAAAATATCTTCTCAAAACAGTCTTGGCTTTTCGTCTCTTCCTCCGAAGGTGGTCGGTCAACTACAACTAGTAAATCTTAAATTGGTTGTGGATAAACTAGACAATGTGACATGGATGGCCCTTGGTAAGATGAATAAGTCGCGTCTCCAGCGGTTCATGCTGCACGCCGACGATAGCGAAGTCATGCCGAGCATCGATTTCTTTTGCACTTCTTTGACGACTCTCAAATTGTGTTTACCAATCACGGCAAAGAATACACTCTTGATCCTGAAGGGGACACCAATGCTTGAGAGTCTGGTCCTTACATCGTCCACAATCCCATACGATCTTGGGCAAATTGATCCTGTTGAACTCACTTACCTCAGACGCCTTCGGCTCAATCATTTCGGGTACTCGAATAAGTATCTGCAATACATTCGTATTCCGAACGTAACGGCGCTCACTATAATATACAGTCGTGGTCGATTGGTTATACCACAATATGTAACAAAGCTTGAATATCTTCACCTTTCATATTGCGACCTCTCTGTTGCCGATTTCGTCACTCTTCTTCGGACATCAACGTCACTTAAAACACTTGAGATTCCATGGTGCAGATTCCGTGATGGTGATGAAAATGATGTTCTCGAAGCATTGGCGAGACCGTTGCCAACGGAGGAGAAACAGGGTACATCTCGGATGATCTGTTGCCCACAGTTACAGGCTGTAAATCTTTCTGGACTCCGTCGTCTAAAGGCAGATCCGGTCGTTCTGCTTGTGAGAACACATTTACATGGAATAGTGTCGCCACATAACAAGCTCGAACTAACATCTTCGTCAGAAGATCCTCCGATCAAGCTGCGTCGCATCCTTACCTTGGTTCTTGATGATTGCCTGCCATTCGATCCTCCTACACTATTTTGTCTCGAGGAAACTGTACCGCACTTCCGCTATAAAGCCAGATCCATTTAGGAGTTACAATCATTGCCACATGAATTGGGCCTTTCGTCTATTCTTTCTCCCTCGTGAAGTTTAATTGCCGCGATACCATACACCTTGTTCACCACTCATGTTGTCTTGCGCGTGCGATTCTGTCCCATCCGTCCCTCTAGTGAAGCCTCATTGCTGAGACCTCCGACGCCTTATTCCAGTAATTATTCATTCCCTTTGACGCTTATTTCACTTGCTAGTCGTGACTTGTGAAAGCTAGCTTTTTACCTGCTTTTCATACGCTTTATATGCATGATTGTCTCTCCTCAGTGAAACTTTATTACTACCGACTCCTAGCTCCCTCTTAGTGAACCATGCATATACTTTGACATTTTATTGTAACACTAATACGCTGTTCAAAAACCGCTTTTGCGTCTCACGTCTCCAGATATAATATTTTACACTTTCATTCAACAGTCTATTCCAAACGAAAACGTCCGACTTCTCAAGGACGAGCAGTGCCCTCAAGGGTAAATATAAATTATCTGATGTGAACAGTACACACACTCTTCTCAATCGTCCATGAAACAATAGGTTCCTCCCAAAAACTCACGGCATATTTTATCCAGTGTGACCTCTGGAGAGCGTTCCTCTCCTGGTTCAGGTCTTTCTTGAATGCGCTATTACTAATGTTGGAGGATGTGCAGCTATGCGGTGAATTAAATTAGTACACCGTACGAAGCATTGTTCGACTAGAATCTTCCCGATAAGGTGTTGAAAAAAATACGATACCGAGCAAAGTGCATTCGACAAGTTGCAAGGTACATCTCATTCATCCGCGTGTACGACATAACCGAATTTCCAATACAGAATTACCTGCATATTTTTATCTTAATTTCATTCCAGTAGCCTTTACCACTATAAATACACACGTGTGCAATGCTACAGCGGCGTTCAAGGATTATTTTAAAAAGTTCAAGGAGCAAAGCTTCGGCGGCGTGGAATGGTCCCGGCGAAAGAGCTACCACTGAAGCTCCTAGCTGATCCTCCAATATCGTCAGATTCAAGGTCCAGTATACCATCGCTCGACTCAAACGTCGACAACCTCCTGTGCCTAGATAGTATCTTTCGAGGACTGGAAGTCAAAGTCTGAGGTTGATCTTCGCGTTCTGATGCTTCTTCATCTCTTCCTTCTTCCCCTTCCCCTTCCCCTTCCCCTTCCTCGTCACTGTCGCCATATTCGAGTCTGTTGATCGGTAGCTCGAGCCTCTCAGGCTCTTGGATGATGAGCGTGCCGGTTATATTTGTGGGTGGAGCAGGGGTCGAGTCAACATGTGTACTTGGCTTGCGCTTTACTTCGGGACGTTGGTCTTCAAGAGCTTTCTCAGGAATCTAAAGGGACAAATAAGTAGATTCAAGTAAGGGGGGAAAAACTATGCGTACCGGAAGACGAACGATATATGCCAACAGTGTTGAGACTGCCGCATAGATGAATACTGCTCTCAGCGAAGTCGCATATGAGTCTCTCGCAGCGCGCTGTAGTTCTGGCGGTAGAGTCGCAACGAGCTTTGAAGAATGTCTGATCCTTCTTATTTGATGTTCCGCATCTGGTCCAGGAATGCGATTGCGCAACTCCCTATCAAGAGTCGACTGGAAAATCGACGAAGCAATGCCAACACCCCCAACTTGTCCTATCCCACGGAACAATTGTCCAAATCCAGTACCGACAGCCATCACGGAGTCTTGATAGAGAGAAAACATATCAAGTGGCGTTTTCTGTATGATTCATGGGGTCACTTACGAGGTATATGCGCAAGAAGAGCAACTGAAAAAGTTTAGATTCCTATGAGCTGAAAAATGACTGCGAGTACTTACTCAATGTCGTCTGGTAACAATAGTCATTTTCAACGTTAAATAACTAATATGTTAAGGTGACTCACCTGGAGTACCACTGCATTTCCAAAACCCAGAGGAATCTGTGGTACAACATTAACGAGGTAACTACGTAGCGACTAAGAGGACGTACAATGCTAAACCACATTTGGAACCAATTTGAGTCTTCACGTAGCAGCGAGATGGCGACGGCTGCGATGAACGGGAACGATCCGAATATCAAGTTAATCATCTTATATTTCCCGGTTCGGTGCATCATATAACTGTTCAGCCTGCGTGAGAAAATCAATGGTTCGCCTGTTGACCAAAAACTGACCCAGCAAAGAGTGAACCGAAAGACATTGAGATACTGTTAGGAAGTAAATGTGCACCTATCAAAGCTTTAGAAGGTATACTGCCAAATCACCAGCCTGCTTACGCACCAGCTTCACTCGCGCTCGTTAATGCAACTGTTTCGAACCACATGGGGAAGAAATACATGACTGCAAAGTTGCAATTCGCAACGAGGAAGTTCTGCACGCCGATCAAAACTGGAATCCTCTGCTGCAACAGGAAGGGGGCCAAGACGGGTTCAGGGGCAATGAGAAGCTCAACAAGCACGAAGACGATGAACATGACCGTTGAGATGGTAAAGGGTGCGTAAACAGAAGGGGAGCTCCACTGAACGATATATTCAGTCATCACGGAAAATGAAGTAACAATGTATTGCACGAACAGGCATGTCCTCGTTGAACTTGTTACTGAGGAAGATGAGGAATGAAAACACCTGTATGTCCGTGAGCGATAAATGACAAGCCAAAGCGACGTAAGCATACCGATCCGAGGAGCGTGAAGGTACCACCGTAGTCTATGCGTAAGAGCACTTCTTTCGCGCTCTTTCCCTTGCCCTGCAACGACAGTATCAGAATATAACAAGGGCTAGGTATACGGACAAATAATACCGGAGTTACGTATTTAAGATTGATGCCTGTCAAAACAAACGACGCAGCAAACAGAGGCATTTGAATAAGGAAAGCCCAACGCCACCCAAACCTGTGCGCACGTCAAGACAATCACTATCTTAAATTAAGGACATCAACGTGCCGGTCACTTATGTAGCCACCGACGGGACCACCTAGTCCCATACCAAGCTGCAAAGCAAGTTAGCTGGATAGATTTGTGCATGGCTCTCGGTGGACTCACGCCATTGAAAATATTTGCGACACCTTGTGCCAGCCCACGCGACTAATTACGAGGGATTAGAGTAAGGTGGAAAAAAAATACGAGAGGTAGTGCAGAACGCTTACGCGTATGCTATACATGTCGCTCACAATGATTCTATCCTCAAGCTGTCAGCTATGAAGGCACTACACGGTATGTATCAGTCTCCTCTGCTCACTGTGAAGTTGTGAATATACCACCGCCTCCAAGGCCGCTCAACTGTATAACTGTGTTAGGACCATGTATTTTCTGCCAAATAAACACGTACAAATCTTGCAACAATCAGCGTTTCCATGTTCTGAGATAGTCCACACGCGAGAGTGCCGATAGCAGCAGAAGCAACAGCTAGCTGATTGGCACCACGCCGTCCCATGACATTGCACAGTCTTCCGTAAAGCGGGGCTTGAAGCGCGCAAATAAGAAGGCGCAGTTGCATATTAGAAAAATTTACATACTGAATGTACAAGTAGCAAGTAGATAACTGATTGCCGGTAGTTAGCCTTGAAGCAGATCTAGACTGGTCAAAAGCTTACGATGTTCCAAGCCAACTAGCCTGATTGGCTCTCTTAAACTCAGACGAAATAGACGAGAGAACTAAAGTCAAGGCGTATGAAAGGGGTGCACATAGGAATCAGCTCTATCGAGGCACTCACGCGTTGCAACCAGAGTTGCTATGTTTCAGATCAGAAACTATTCCTAATTCAATGCATGAAACTTAGGGGTACGCACTGTTTAAGGACTATAATCCAAGCGTAGGCCAAGTCTTGTCAGGAACGGCATTGCTTCGCAAGCAAACGCACGTGGCATGGCTCACCGAAAGGAACGTTGCTGTCCATATTCCCGCCAGAATAGCGTACCTATTTGATCTAGTTATCTCCAAAGGCCCGGGTTTGGCCTTGATGTCCTTCGTAGACTGATGAACCGGAGCGGCAGACGCGCCTAGAGGCGTCACGCCAACATTAGCAGCGCCAAGCAGAGGGGCGCGTTCCGTCGCGCTTGCTGCGGCCATCCTTATAGAACCGGAGACCGAGCAGACGTGATCGCAAAAGACAGACTATGAGGGAAGATAGTCGGCGTTGAGAACGAAGTAAGTCGTGTGCCGAACATGTAATAAATGAATCATAGAAGTGATTAAGTCGGCCGAACCGGAGCCCGGCATCTCGGGTACGGGATTTCCCAATCTGGAGCCGGATGGTTATGTAAAGCGACTATTTGAACAATGGACCCACAGAGCGTCGATCGGGAAATGTCCCTTGTTTTAGGCCTGTATATGCTCGTGGCCTGGGACGACAGCCACAGAGCCTTCACCTGCCTTCTGCAGCCACTATCTTTTCCTTCAAGGTAACCATCTTGCCTCTTCCATCCATCCGCAATGCCCATGGGCACCCAGCTGCAGCCCGCCCAATGGTCTAGTGTGACTTCCGGCAAACCAGCGAGTGCACCAGCGCTCGTCCCGGCATCATTTCATGATTCCGACGACGAGGACCCTACTCAGGACCACATTCCAATAGACATCTATCAGCACTTTGGGCTCCCTCCAGGCACTCCGATTTGCCTCGATAGTCTTGAGGATCCTCCTCCAGGCGTAAAGCCAGCGTACACTTATGCGACTCTCGTTAAACTTGCAATTTGGTCCAGTCCGCAACGTAAACTGACACTCTCAGGAATTTATGAGGCATTGGAGCGGAGATTTTCGTGGTTCCGCGAGTGCGAAAACCCATCAGCGTGGAAGGTGCGTACGGCAGATTGAACGCTTCCTGTGCTTCTCCGATGTCGATTACTCAGGCGCGCATTCGTCCCGCAGACATCTATCCGGCATAGTCTTTCGTTAATGGCTGTCTTCGTTAAACTCCCAATGGACATTCATGTTCCTGGAAAGGGTTGCAATTGGACCGTCGACTTCTCCAAGGGCGACGGATATAAGCGGCCACGCAAACGCGGGCCGAAAGCTAAACGCAAGACTCCCGTCCCCGAAGCTGAACCGTCAACACCAACTGATGACAAGCTTACTTATGACTATGAACCACCTCTGCATGAGCCTCCTGAGTTCTCGAACGTCAATCCTGAGACTTTCCAGGAAGCTGAAGACCAACAAAAAAACGCATTACCTCCATACAAGAGCTGTACCGCTCTCGCAGCGGCGATACCCGACCCTCAATTTCGTCATTACCGGATGCGTACATATTTATATCCTAATGCGGATCCTCCAACTCCAGGGTCTTCTGGAGAAGTATGGGAACACATTGACGATGAAGAGAGAGAGGCCATTGAACGAAGTCTCGTTCAGCCGCCCCCCATACGAACAAATCGGACTCGCAATAATCGATCTTCGCGTCGATCCGACCCGATAGCCACGAATTCTCGTCGTTCTCGTAAGGAGTCTCATCAAAGCTCAAGTAGCCAATCCCCCGAGGAATATTTCTATCCATCACCTGCCTCCTATCACGCTTACCATGTTGCCTCGGTGTCGTACCATCGAAAGGCATATGCTAATTCAAGAAACGACGAGTCCTCCACTGCGACGAAGTCGCGTTCCGAGTATTTTCCCACTGATCCTCCGCGTGGAGCAAATAATGACAGCGCCAGAATGAGGTGGAGAAATGCGACCGCCCACGATTTTACCAGATCGAGGGGCGAGCGGTGTGCTTCAGAATCTATCATTATCGAATCGGTCGATGCTCTTGGGGAAAGATTTCAGTCGGCACCTCCACCGTCCGAGAGCGAGTTTGAGGAAGAGGATAGCTGAAACAAGTTTTTCGACGCTAACGTCGATTTTGCATTAAAGAAATAAACTAACCTGTACCACACCACTACATTTACCTCATATACTGGGCACTGCGTGTCCTCCCTTCCTTAGTTTATACTCGTTTTCCTTTATTGGTTACAACATCACTGATATTGGACTCATGCTAACTAAAACATCTCTTGCTGATTTTCACTTCAGGATGGCCATTTACCACTTTTCTTCTTTTTATCTGTTATCACAATATTGGCATGTCAATGCGAACTTATTTCCTTATTGCTGTCATTTGATTTAGTGCCAATCTATTATGGATCATGTAATCGTGTCTTTGCTCTTTTTTTCAAATTAATCATTGATACATATTTAAATTTCTGAACCTATGTGCCAGGCGCTTTCCGGGAGATCGACAGACCCAGGTTTACCCGTAATGGGAGCTTTGTCACTGACGTCATACTCACTTACCTCCCGATTTATAAATATATTACAGTCGGTTACTTGCAATATCCTTCTGTGTCCTTAATTTCCCTCATCACCCCTATCCCCGTAGTCCTCGCACGAGTGTAGACATCTCAAATCGCTCTCAAAGCGACCTCGAAGAGGAAGTAAAATCCTGGGGTTTCAAAAAAGCTTATAGTTGGACTGATGGACCGTATGTCTCTCTTTCATCTCTCGCGTTTAGTAATAATACAAATATCATTATGGTCACGAATATTAACATTGATACTAATGCGTTAATCACCCTGACATTCATCTAAATGCTGCAATTATAGTAACTCATATTACAAACCACACGTCCACAACGAGCTCCAAACGCACTTGATCATTCGCGGCGAATTCACAATCGCATATCCACGCGATGTTAAGGGGCAGAAACGCGAGACATTTGGACCTGGAGCGCGAATCGACGTGCCTGCTAGAAAAGTACACGAAGTTTGGATGGGAAAGGACGGGTGCACGTATATTATTGGCTGTTGAAGAGTAGTCACTTTCTTATTGAATATTGCACGGTTGTATTGTCTGGCAATTGATGTATCTTGTCTCAATACTGTGTGTACATACTAAATCGTGGATCTCATATTCTGTTATCAAGTCAAAATAGTACATGGGTGCTATCATTAATATTCCTTTCCATTTATAAATCACTACGACTTGTTTGTATCAACTTAATCCGCTTTCTAATGTCCATGTCTTGATTAGAAATATGCCTGATGATGATACTCGTCAGCAATATCCTACACAGTGGCTATATTCAAAATCCACTGACTGCTGCATTTGGTGGGCTCGCACATCCGCCCAAGCTAAATAATAGCAATATCCAGAAATGTATTTTTATCAGAAGCATCTCGCAGGAAGGCCAAGGACGTACATATTCAACGGCCAGGAGGTAAAGAAAAACGCGTAACGTCCGGTTTCGGCGCATATTCCCGAGAGTCCCTCAAAATCCCATAATTCACCTGCAAATAGACAATATTTTTAGGATCTATGCATACGGCGATGAACGTATACATACCAATTGGCATTCCGAATAGTCTTAAGTTTATTTAGATAAGGTATCTTGCAAATGCAGTTTGATTATACACGCACCCAATTATCGTCTATTGAACAACATATCGGTAATTATAGCAAGTCAAATAAGTTAATTACTTACTTGGTGTAAGAAGTTCCTATTCGGAGGAGGCATTCGCTTGAAACATATTGATAAGTATTGGGTTAGACAGACAAACTAACAGACTTTGCCTCAAGAGATGGTACATCAGAAGCAATCGCCGCAAAATGGTTATTCCTTCATGGCATGCTCAGCAATATTTTAATAGCAAATAACACGCAAAATATTTAGCGCACCATAAGAAGCGCTTCATATCTTCAGATTGCTCAATTCCGGCACTATAATTGTCAGAATAAACGATGTTCTGGGCATAAGCAATCGAATGAGGTCAAGGCTCACAATGTCTCTTTATCCACGACTTCGTCTTTCTCTTCTTGGCTGCTTTCGTTATATCTCTTCGTGAAGCCACCACGTATGAGTAGAATATCCGCTTGTTGAAACTTGACGCCCTCAAAACGAGCGCATGCTTCGAGATCAGAGACACTGAAAGCATGTGTCGTCCATGGATCGTAAGGGAGCGGCTTTCCATCCTGTGTGAAGAAGCGGACCAAATCAAGAAACACTGCGCGCCCACAGATGCCATGTTGAGCCCAATCTGTTTGTCCGTCATCGTCTGGTATCAAGCTGACTAGGATATAAACAAAACGTACTGTGAATCCCGAATTTGATAAGGTCTTTATCAATATTCGTGGGATCGGCATTTGGTACTTTTCCGAGTTTGAAGAAACTCTTCGGCGTGCTGGTGAAATGTGCTCAACTATTTGAACTTAAAATGCTGGGGGGTACACGACTGACTTTTGGTAAAATACGTCATGGGTTACAACACCAAAGTGTTTCAGGGAGTCCCACTGTGATCCGGACTGTGTATTCTGCACAACGATTAATGTTAGCTAAAGATCGGCAGGTCAGAAGGCGCAGGAGGTTACAATGGTAATTTCATCGTCATTTGACTTGGTCGTTGGGACGCGTTTGGTAACTACGATTTCTGGGGCCCTACGTGAGAACAGAGGCTATACATACAAGTAAAAATAAAGGCTTTCAATAGGCCTCTTCAGACTACGAAGGTATCTATTTACTCGCCTTCTCTGGAAAGTTTAGAGGCCTTGAAGTTCATCAATCACGGTCAGCTTTCTATCGAATGTCCAAATACAGAAACGATTTCGCATACCAATTTAAGCACACAGTTCGACCCGTTCTAAATAAAGCAAAGTTTGAAATTCAACTCGGCGAGTCAAGTGAACAAATATTCACTTCACTTCCTTGGCGGCATCTCGCACGACGTCTTCAGTCAGCAGATTCACAGTCCCTAGTTCGTCTCCCGCACCCCATACATCCCATGCACATCCCCCGAATTCATGGAATTTTGAGAGCTCATCAAAACTAGGGAGATCATGCCATTTCTTTTTTTCGGCCGAAATATTTGAAGGATCCTTGGCAGTATTGAATTTGAATAGACGAAACCCACGATTCGCAGTCATAGCAGTCAACCGACAAGCAATTGGTGGGAGTAAGGTGCGAACGGTAATTGAAGGAGCTCGTCTGCCCCATGATACACCTCCTTCACTTTATAGGAAAGGTAAGTGGATCCGAGCACATGGGGCATTTCACAATTCCTTACCTTAAAAAATAACTTACATAATGATAAACATTATTTGAAATTTATTTTCCCATTTTTGACGAGCAAAAATTATAAACAAAATTTAAAACTTTCTTTATACAAAAACTAGAAATTATTGTTAACATTTCTTCATTTGTGAAATCTTGAAATAAAATAGAGATAATAAATCTAAAAACAT